TGAATTTAATCGATAGATTTCAAATCTCATATAAAAATATATTTTTATATGAGATTTGAAATCTATCGATTAAATTCAACGTACCATACGATGGCATGCTTAGAAATAGGATACTACGGACAGTATTAGAAATTTTGTGGGGGGAGCTCAGGAAAATGCTAATTTTTTTAACAAACTCTTATCGCAAAAATTTTTGGATAGAAACTCATCATTTGACGCCAATATCATCCCTCCATAAATTTCAACTGGGACTCATACTCTAAAGCTGAGATCCAGCATACCGCAAAATCCTGGTTCCGCTACTACCAACTAATACAAGTCGAGAAAGATTTACTCGTATACCTTGCTCTTTGCGATTTATACCTATTTCATTTACTATTCAATCTCAGACAAGCTACCTTGTCAAAAGTTGTATGATACAGATATAATGTGACGTATTGCCTATGAGTAAGTCTCTCTATTATAAGATTGCTTTGGAAATTTCACTAGTCAAAACAATATTTCTAGTATAGATGTAAATTGATAGAAAAAAAAAGAAAACTTTCATACTGCATAGAAGAAATCATACATTTCAAACAATTGTTCTAGAACTATTCATGAACGAAATTTCACATCAAACCTATTTCATTCGATTTTGTTAAAGATAACTTGTCAAAGATGAAAAATTCATTAAAATTGTCAGAATTTCAAAAGAATAAGTCTTACATAGCTTCAAAATATATAATAATTTTCAATACAGCTATGTCAATAAATAGGATAACTCAATATTCGAAGAATTTAATACTTCTATAATTCAAGCATTAGAAATCGAGTATTCAAAACTTGGTGAACTTTTTTTTTTAGTCATTGAATGCCTATTACCTTATTTCGGAATGCATTTCGACGAAAAAATGCTTTACATGGTCCACAAGTGATTTGACCAAAATTAAAACCATGAGCAGGAGCATCACAAACACGACATTCAAGATTCGACAATTGAGATTCTTCTGTTGAACTATCGTCTGATAACGTTGATAATTGATTTTGATCAATCTAACAGAAAAAAAAAAAGAAAACATAAATAAATAATTTTATTTAAAAATTTATATAAAATAAATTTAAATCACTTACTTCAGATAATGAA